CGCTGGATCGAGTTGTTCCATTCTACGAGATACCACCAGATATCCCACGCATGAATAGGAATACCCGAATACCGCCAACACGTCAATTAGTGCTCTCTTCCGCCACTATCATTGTCGTACCGCGAAACTTGCTGCACCAATGGCAGTCAGAGATACAGAAGCACGTCCTTCCGGGTGGCCTCAGGATTCTCGTCGTTGACTCTGTGCCCAAGCGCACGAAGATAACCCATCCAACCGATGAGACCATGGACTTTCGAAGCGAACTACCAGCTCCCACTGAACTCATGAAGTTTGACGTGGTTCTATTTACTCGCAACCGCTTCGAACAAGAGATTCAAGACGGTCAAGATGAACAAGGACGACGCATGGGTTCTGGGGCCTCTCGCGTTTGTAACTGCCCTTACATCGGAGCAACTCGGATCCCAGATTGCAGTTGTGTCAACACTGATAGAGTGTACGAATCGCCACTGAAGAAGATACACTGGCTACGGATCATTATCGATGAAGGACACTCTTTCTCGAGCTCTGTCTCAAATGCTGTACTTGTCGCTAAGCAGATACAAGTGGAGAGACGCTGGGTCGTATCAGGAAGTAAGTCGTGCAAGTTTTGACATGTGTACATATGCTGACGTTAGTTCAAAGCACCTGCGAAAAGTTTGGTCGGTGTGGAGGTAGACATGTCCACCGTCAATCCGGAGACCGACCCGGTACTACAGCGCGAACTTGCCATGGAAAAGAGAAAAACGTTCAAGGATGATGCAGAGAATGTCAAAACTGCTAAAGCTTTGGGTATGCTTGCTTCAAACTTCCTCATGGTTCGACCATGGTGCGAGAATTCCGAGGGTAAGCTCGATTGGGATGATTACGTTTATCGCCACGAGCATCAGTACAGAAAGACTTACTCCGGGTTTTCCTCTTGCTTCGTCCGAGCATTGGAAGGACTAGTTGTAAAGACACGCCCAGAGGATGTTGAGAAGGACATTGTCTTACCGCCGATGCGACACAGAACCGTTTACCTCAAGCCATGTTGGTTTGATAAGATGACGGCCAATCTTTTCATACAAGTTCTGCGAGCAAACGCTATCACGAGCGAGCGGACCGATGTCGACTATCTATTCCACAAGAACAGCGTGAAAGCTTGTCACAGTCTCATCAGAAATTTACGGCAGTCCAACTTTACCTGGACAGGTTTCAGCCTCTCAGATGTAGTCGCCACGCTTGAAACTAGCAGTAAGTACCTTTCCAAAGAGGACAAGAACTGCTCGCTCGAGGACGCGCAATCCCTCCTGGAGAGCAGCCAAATCGTGTCGAAGCTTACGGCTTCCGCTAATTGGATTGCATTGAGTACATCTCATGAAGTGGGTATGGCTGTCAACCGTTGGCCAGAAGCGGCGCGAGAGGCATTTGCACTTGTTTACCCGGCGGAGCCCATCGTGGTTGGTGTTACGCAGCTCATCGAGGGCCAGCTCCACGTTGATAGCAACATCCGGTCTTCAGATCCAACGGTCGGGCTGGATGCTGTTGGATATGCAGCAAAAGCAAAGGCCATTGCGATGGCAGAGGAAGAGGGTAAGCTCAAAGAATCAAGCGAAGGCACAGTCGATGGCTTGCCGCTGCAGAGGACAGGAGTGCCTACTTCGTTGGTGAAGGGTCAACAGCCACCGACTAGTCGTCGAACATCAGCCATCGCGAGCAAAGCTTCTCCCAAGAAGTCAACAGGATCTAACAATGCGAATGGCGTTGAAGACACCCCGGACATCGCATCACCCGTCCGCACGAAGAAGCGAAAGCTTACCTTCGCAGATGAGACAGCGGATCTTCCTGCAGACTCCGATCTCCGAAGCACACGCTGCGTAGGCACAACATCAGCGAAACTTACATATCTGTTGGACAAGGTGATGCAGCACCAGGAGAAAGAGAAGATCATCATCTTCTACGATGGTGACAACGCGGCATTCTACATCGCCCAATGTCTTGAGTTGATGTATGTGAACCATCGCATTTACGCGAGAACCCTAAACAACCAACTGCGATCCGAATACGTACGACTCTTCAACGAGGATCCAGATGTGCGAGTCTTGCTCATCGATGTCGCATGCGGTGCCCTCGGGTTGAACCTTAACGCGGCGAGCATCGTACTTATCGTGAACCCGATCAACAGGCCAAACATTGAAGCGCAAGCCATCAAACGAGCCCATCGCATTGGCCAGACAAAAGAAGTACTCGTCGAAACTCTAGTTCTCGAGAACACAATCGAGCATGCAATCTTCAATCGCGCGAAGAAGATGTCTCGTGCCGATCACCAAGAAGCGAAGGAGCTTGAAGACGATGCTGGCATCATCGAGATCATCCAGAATGCTCAGATCCTGCCTGTGGGTGATGACGAGGGCGAGGGTTTGTCAAGCTTTGCGCTACTGCAGACACCGCAGCAGGTGTTTGGGCGACCGAATCGGCACAAATACCATCGGTATGGAGGCGCTGATAAGAAGACTAAGGATGGACCGCAGAAGAAGGTGAAGACTTCGAAGAGTACGAAGAAGGACGGGAACGAGGATGCGGGTGGTACCAATAGCACGACTGCACCTTCTACGCCTGGTACTGGCTTACCGGTGCGAGGACCTGCTCAAAATGGCGGCTTGAATGCTGCTGGTGCAGCATGGTCCCAACCAGTCGCCAGCATCTTTGGCAGCGGTTGAGACACGGAAGATCGTACCCATACAGCTCTGGGGTTATACCACGGCACACATTCCATTTCATTTCTATATTGAACGACGGGCTCGCCCAACCGACTTACTTAACACTAGGTTTGGAAGTTACTTTGCATGTACTATACCCGTCTGAGCTGGCTTCGGCCTTGATTCGTTCTGCTTCAGTACCCCGAATGGCATCAGCGTATGACAATATACAATTCTTCATACAACTTGCCATCGTCCTTCTAATGCCTTGACTTTTGGTGAAATATGTACAATGCTACCCGTCTACAACGCCGATGAACGCCATGCTAAACAGGGTATGCATTACCGCATTTCCTGCTGACCGTCTGTGCCCTCAACATCCTCATGCTTGACCCATACGCTCTCCATCGCCTGTCCTAAGATTTGCATGCCCTCCTCGATCTCCGCTTCGGTGATCACGAGTGGGGGAACAAATCTCAGGGTGTTTGTACCGCAAGTGATGATAAGCAACCCCCTCTCACGAGCAGCAGTAACGATGGGTGTAGGATCGACATCAAGCTGAAGACCCAAGATCAGTCCCTTGCCTCTGACCTCCTTGATCTGGCTGGAAAAGCGCTGTCGGAGAGCATCGAAGTGCTTGCGGAATGCCTGCTCCTTGGCGGGTATCGAGTCGAGAATCTCTGGTGATGATAGACGGGACAGGATGTATGAAGCGACGCGAGATCCGAGGGGGTTGCCGCCAAAGGTGGTGCCGTGGTCACCAGTCTTGATGTTGTCACAGACGAAGTCGTTGACGATAGTCGCGCCAATGGGGAATCCGTTGCCGAGTGCTTTTGCTGTGGTTACAATGTCGGGATGGCATTCCTTGGGGTAGCCGCCGTGTGCCCAGAAGGTTCCTGTCCGGCCTAGACCGCACTGTATCTCGTCGAAGATCAAGACGGCACCGACTTCTGTGCACCTCTTTCGAAGCGCGAGAAGGAACTCGGGTGTCGCAACGTTCACGCCGCCCTCTCCCTGGATTGGCTCCACGATGACACCGCACGTCGCGTCGGTGACCAGGTCGTTGACTGCCTCCACATCGTTGAATGTGCCGTACTTGAAACCGGGCACCATTGGCGAGAAGGGTGTCTGGTACTTGGGGTTCGGTGTCGCGCTCAAACTGCCCATGGTCCGGCCGTGGAATGAGTTGTGGAACGAAACGAATTCGTGCTTCTCCTTGTCTGGTGACATTGACTTTCCGACCTTGCGCGCGAACTTAATGGCGGCCTCGTTGGCCTCGGAACCACTGTTGCATATGAATGTGCGAGTGGCGCTGGCGAAGCCTCCGGTCGCGTGCGTGAGCTGGATCAGCTGCTTCGATAGCAGGCCTGTGTGCGGGTTGTGGTAGAGGTTCGAGGTGTGCATAAGTTGCTTGGCCTGGGAGGGAGTCAGTGGGCCGCAATCGATGTAGTGGTGACGAACGTACCTGTTCTCCAATGACCTGCGCTACGCCAGGGTCGCAGTGCCCCAGCGCATTGACGGCAATACCAGCTGTGAAGTCGAGGTACTTCCTGTTCTCAATGTCCCACATCCAGCACCCCTCTCCCTTCTCGAACATCGGTGGTGGGCGGACATAGGTCGGGACCATGTACGGTAATTGCTGGTTGACGAGGCCGGCTGTCTTGGAGGATGAGGACGGGTCGGGTGTAGGTAGCGTGGAGTCGCGCTATAGAGTGTCATTATGGAGAGCGCTGCAGAGTGTGTGTAGGTTGGTACTCACGGCTATGGCGTCCTTCACATCCTGTGGTAGACTGGACCCCCTAACCGCAGAGGCTGCGGAAGCAAACCGCGCGGGGACGTAGTTGATGCGAGATGCGCGCAATGTAGCGCATACGCGCTGCGAAGCCATTCGTGAAGCCATAGTCAATTGCAAAAGTCAGGAAAACAAACTCCAGTGCCTCACTGCATCAATCGTGACTGTTGGGCGTGACGCAACTGCCCAAAATTTTAGCGTGCATGATAAGATAGGCCGAGGTCGGAGAGTCGGAGTGCCTCGTACAAGGTGTAACTCAACAGGTGCTCTGCTGACTACATCAAGATGAGAACAACCGTTTCGCTAGATTTTAAGGCAATGTAGACTTCTGGGTTATGTACTCAAACGTGTGCCCAATCTTTTTGGTAGAATAGGATGGGAAGGGTGGGGTGGTAGGGATGTTTGGGTCGGTGGAGGGTGAACTGACAGGGATGTTTGGGTCAACGGAGGAAGGAGCGAGCGCAGCGACGGCAGGAGCGACCGGTGAGCGGTGAAATATTACCGGCCTAATTGGGCCAAAAGAGAAGAACAAAGCCTCCTTGGTGTAGTTGGTTATCACGTGGGTCTCATATCTACACATATGACTGTTCGACAGAGCAGATATCCCGAGGTCGGCAGTTCGATCCTGCCAGGGGGCAAACTTTTTGCCGGCATTCTGGCTGTGTGCTGTTACTAATGTGGTAGGCTCGCTACGTATGCTCATGTTTTTGGAGATCGAAGTCAGCTGACATATTTTTTGGTTGACAGTCAGTCCAATGCGTTTTGGCTTCATGTGTAGGCCGATATGTGGCAGAACAATTAAGCTGGGAGTAACATACATAGTTCTGATCTACTAGCTGGTTGTAACAGGGCCTACACAAGTACAAGGCATTACCGCGAACAAAAGACACAGTTAGTATCGTGAAAGAACTCAGGCTGTTGTGCACTGAGCGGTAGGCATGGAAAAGCCGTAGTCTCTCATCCGAGCATCTGCCTTCTCTTCCACGTAGTTCATCCGTGGCACGTCTCACGCAGCTTAAGCATCGTGTGTACCTACTACAACAAATCGCTATAAAAACGACCAGTGTAACAACAGAGGACCTGGAAGTCTACATCGCTGTTGCAAGTTCTCAGTTCCTTGCTTCTGCGCTCTTGTAGGCTGCAGAGCGAAGGCAGAATACGCCACGATGAAGTCCCGGTCACTACTTCCATACACAACATGCGCCGTTCCGTCTCCCATGCGTATACTTCACGCATACAGAGATTTCGAGACATGTTGGCGTCTGGGACTCTTGGGAAGAGTCGCTCCGACCTGCAAGTATGTGAAAGCCGGTGTAGATACCAGTTCCATAGGCCGTCGTATGACGCGATAAGCGGCCGAACGTTCAGCATGTGCATCTGCTACTCGATCACAACAAGGACTATATCGTAGCCATTGGTATCCATCGACTTGGGTAACCAACACCAAGGTCTGCTTTGATATCGTCAACGTCCGTGATCATTGTGTGAGGTCACCAACAGTCGGTACCCTCCGCGCCATTTGAATGCTTGAGCTGTAAGTGACCGTGCGGCCTCTGAGATCGGATCATTGAGGCAGACGCCGATGCACGAGAGGAGGGCATTCGCGACTTGCTCGTAAAAGGATATCAGGCGCTTCTTCTGCAACAGCCCAAACCCGCGTCCCAAGACACAGCAGCGTTTGTTGGAAATAAAGAACTAGACAGGTCTGCAGACTACAGCATGGCATAAGAAGCAAATTGGAAGATCTGACGAAGATGTAGGCTCCAGGGTGTTTGGTTTTCTCCTTGTATGAGGTGACGCTCTCGGCAATATTCTTCGGAGATGTGATGGAGTTGTAGGGCGAAGAGAGGTTGTGCTGGTTCGTTGGAAAGTAGTGCGAGCTGAGATCCATGGATGGTCGCGGTTGCTGTGTTGCGCTAGCTGGTTGGGGCACAAGCTTCCCTCGACGCGTCCGTCCGTCCAGATGTCGCACCCCGCTGCGTGTTCACCCTCTGCCATCACTTCTACCCTCTTTCTTCCCAAGTGGACCCTGTAATGTCACAAAAGGCGGCGAGGTTTTGGGAGTTTATCAGAATCTCCGAGATGCGGACAACATGGGTTTACCAGACGCGACGCGATACCACAAAACGCCATTCACGTGCGATCGTGAGAGGTTCGCGTTGTTCAGGGGTCCTGGAGCGATGACGAAGCCCCTTGATGTCATGATCCCACGAACACCCGGATGAACCTCATCAACCCACACCTCCAATTCATCAAGATCATCGATTGCCTATCTATTCTCATCAGATACATATCATTGAGCACCTGTCCCGTCTCATATCCCACGTGAAAATGCCTCCAGCGAAGAAACAGAAGACCGCGCGCGATTCCGGCGTCTTCCTAGAAGATTCGGGCAGCGAGAGCTCGGATTCCGCCTTCGAGTCGGTGCGCCCCAACAAGAACGACAAGCAGAAGAAAAACAAGCAGGATAGCAGCACGGGCAAGTCCGCCGATCCAGCACCTTACGATTACGTTTGTATACCGCATCCTTTCTTCGACATTGAAGGCAGGAATTATCTCAATTGGACGTTGGACCCGGACGCCTTCATTTCATCTAAATCCGAGATCTTCAAAAGGCTCTACAAGCCCATCGACGATCAATTCAGAAAAGATGGCCTCTTTAAAGCACCAGCGAGCAAGCATCCGGAGCACAAATGGGTCATGCTGTGGGATGCGTGGCTCAAGGCGGATCTACTAGGAAGGAAGGCGAAGTACTGCGACCCAGATGCCTTTGAGATGAATTTGTATACAGACTGGCAAGGATGGGGAATGCAGGAAATTATGGAGAATATGGTAAGTGCGAAGGATAGCTGCGTGTAATAGCTGGAAGCTGACAGCGCAAAGATGGTCGAGTTTAATCAAGGCTTCCATGCCAAAAAGGACCGAATCGAGAAAATGTGGTCGGTCATCAGCGCAGTGGGACTGTGGCTGAATGAAAACGAGCACATCACCGCGCTCATCAACAACGAAGACGGCGACACAACCTGCGAAATGATCGGCTTAATGGGCTGCGCACTACTCACCGTGCTCGCGGCTATTGAAGCAGCAGGCGAGCTCAAGCCAGATTCCCGCTTCCTTGACTTGCCAATCGTCATTGCGTATTATCTAGAGCTATCGCACGATCTCCCTGCTTTTGGCATCGAAGGGCAGTGCGTTTCGTGGCGCAAAGAAGCCGTTAATTACTTCAAGAAGGGCATACTTGACCCCGAGAAGGGGATCTTCGCGACGAAACTCCGCCTCGACAAACTGGCAAAGGTCGGTGACGTTGATGATGACTTCGCGCACACCAATGGAGAGGTCGAGAAGATCATGACTGGGACAACGTTTCCTGAGAAGCTTGAGGCTAAGAAGGCGGCTAAAGACGCCACTGGAAGCTCGGCGGAGAACCCAGTCACGATCCTAGAAGACGACGACGCCGATAAAGAGAATACAGACCCGAAGGCCACGGGTGAGAAGCATGTCTCTCCGCCGCCAACAGGCAACGGCAAGAGGAAGAGGGGTCTGGACAATGTCGGGAACACAGGCAATGCGAAAGAAGCGGATAAAGACCCATGGCACTGGAACGACAGTTTCAATGCGTACAAGGACAAGCGCCATCCCAAGATGGGCGGTGAACACTACGATATTACAAAAATGAGCAGGTCAGACCGAGCGGCTGCGTCGTTTACCGGCAAAGATCCCCTTGCCGATGTTCCAATGAAGGATCTACAAGCGAATCTACTGGATCTCATTTGAGATGGAAATATGTATAGTATGGGCTGTAGGAGGAGGGGCTTGTGTCAAGAAGGTGTACATGATCTGTTAGACGCGATTACCAATTTGAGTTTGTAGCATCCCAAACGCTATTGCACACACCCTCTACTGTCTACAGGCCAAATCTCCTCGATGATGCCCTTTCGATACGCATAGTACACGTTGTGCAAGTTCACCGTTGGGTCGATATGACTGGGCACCATCTCGACCCTATCACCTATCTTCAGTTCTTTACCCTTGCCTTCCTCCCAGGCCAGACTACCATGCTCATCTCCCAGAACGCCATACTTATACCCCGGCGTCTTGCACTCCGCCAGCCCAGAATCCGTCGTCAAAGACTTGAGGCCCGCATCAATAGTAATAATATTGGGGCCCTGCTTGCTGAGAACCGTCGACAAGATAGTCAGACTCTGCGCATAGTTCGTCGAACCAACAGCATTGCGATAATCCGTATCCATGAAGAGGAAAGAACCCGGCTGAACTTCCGTGATCCCAGGGACCGTGACGCAAAACTCCGCTGTGCCCGTTCCACCAGTCGTCACCACATCAATTGCGTAACCTTCTCTCCTCAGCGCATCCGCAGTCGAGGTAAGGATCTTCATGCTCTCCAGACATTGACTCTTGCGCTCCTCGAGACCGTGGATGTGTTGCAAATGTCCCTCGTACCCTTGTACACCGATGAGTTTGAGGTGCTTTGAGTTGGCGACGAAACGTGCTAGGTCCGAGGCTGGCTGACCAGGTTGCACACCCGTGCGGTGTAATCCCACATCGAGATCGATGAGCGTCATGACGGTGCCTTCGAAGCCGCTTTCTGATAGCGCTTGCTCGATAGCGCTTGCGCCTTCTATGCTGTCGACGACTATCCGCACGTCTTTGTACTTCTTGACTAGTTCCACTAATCGCGCCACCTTTGCTGCGCCGATTATCTCGCAGGTTATTAGGAGGTCTGTGAAGCCTTTCTCGCACATGACTTCTGCTTCGGAGAGTTTCGCTACGCATCCTCCTTTTGCGCCCGCTTTGACCATTTTCTTCGCAAGGATAGCGGATTTCGTCGTCTTGAGATGTGGGCGGATGTTGACGCCAGTGGGGAGGAGTTGTTTCATGAGTTTATCCAGGTTGGCTTCCATGAGATCCAAGTCCACAATCATTGATGGCGTATCTAGCGAGTCTAGCGAGTCGCCTACTTTGGGAGAGTACGGCATGGTTGCGATGTGTAGGAGATGCTGGTAGGACCGATGGAATAGAGGGCGCTTTTGGTGGTGACTCGTTCAAGCAGCTCGACTGAGAGGAGCAACGCGTATAGTTCGGATGATACCGGGCTTATTCACAAGTACGCGCGCTGCGAATATCGGACGTTGCACTCAAGATAGGCGTGTAGATGTTAGAAGTGGAAAAGTGGGTGCCTGGTCGTGATAGCCCGAAATGGTAAGCCGGAGGCCATCCCACCTTCCCGACTGAACACTAGCTTCCGTCTTTACGGGCGTACATGACTTGCGTGCCTGTCTTTCCATCAAAGAGTACCTGAGACCTCATTTCATTTTTCACGTATGCTTATTATCATAGAGAGCACATCAAGTGTTGTTAGGTATAGCAGCTCAACCGCCGTTGAGCATGGCTTGCGGAAAAATCGTACTCGTTGCGGTGCGTGCAACAAAGTTATAGAACATCACAGATCAGGACGACATGGATCCCTTGAGACAAAGTCGTTGCATTAAGTAGTACGATTCCAATCAGCGAGGTTCTCCATACGGACTTGTACCTGCGCAGTACTTCCGGCAACGAGTCAAGTCCACAAAGCCAGTCTTCTCCTTCAACCAATAGTGTTAGACACCTTAAGCCTTGCACC